ATAATGAGCACATCGCTTGATACCGACGAACGTTTCCCCCTATACCATCAATATCGTCCTAACTATTGAGTCTTAAACTCACCGTTCTTTGAAAGAATCATAAGGACAACCTGAGTACCAACCCTCCACACAGCTCCGATTACTGTCTTCAGGAGGGGCCACCGCCCGCCTCAGGCCAAGGCTACAGCCCGAGTGCCCATGGCTGACCCTCTGGGTCTTATCAATGCTGCGAACCTCGTTAGGAGAAGGCTAAACCCTTCTATCTCATTCCGCCTGTCCTTTGCCTGTGTGTGCTCAGCTGATATTGCATAGGAGGGAACGTGACCACACGAGCCGACTAGATGGGTCCCATGCCTGGCTTCCCAACCAAAAAGGATAGGAGGCCAGACTCAGCATGAGTTCAGAGGGCTTAAAGTGGCCGAAATTCAACGATTATAGGCTAACGAGCTGGTGATGACTTGGGTCATACAGGCAAGTCACACCTCCCACACATGTCTTCGTTGACGCATGCTTGTGTAGGCCTAGTTCCCCATCTCACCACCCGCTTGTCTGTCTGCATTTCTGTCTGCGACTGTGTTTATCCATCCTTTTGTATGTGTACGTGTGCGTTTAGAGGTTTGGAGGCATGAACATCTAAAGGACTTATTATAGTGTCATCTTGGAGGTAGGTCAGTAGGAGGGGGCAGACGAGATGGGTAATGAGGGCAGAAAGATAGTTGGGGCTCGTTGGGCGAATGGAAGTTTTGCTCACAGATTCGATGAGTTTGAGGAACCAGAAGAGGCAAATAGTCTGGTAGTAAAAGATTCCCCATAATCCACCCGCCACGTGGACAGGGTCAAAGTTAACTCATAAGAGAAGTTTAACATATTGTTGCTTGTGTGGGCATGCAGTCGTGTGTATCCCATTGGCAGCATTGGTTAGCCCATATTGTCGACTTGGTTTATGCTCACTCCCATTTGGACTTGTAGCCACCGTAGGTGGTGAATAATGCAGTCAGTGTGGTGGGATCACAGCAATCATCGAACACGTCATACTTTTCCTGCATGTGTTTTGGGTGTGTGTCCGGCCCCAGTGCCTGGGCGGCAGTAAAATCTGGAGGCAGGTCAGATGGAGCAGCCAGGCTTCTGGCTCTCATTGTTTTACCATCAAGATATGGAAACATGTTGGTTTAAATAGACGAAACGTAGCCCCAGAATGACTGATAATGTCAGTGGGACTGTCGAGTTGACCTTACGCCAGTGAGCTTGGCAGTGAAAAAACCGTTTCATTTTTACCGGTTTTTTAGTCCTCACTGGATTCATAAATGAAGACCGTTTATGCCCGAAATTTCGCCTGTTGGTTAGGCCTCTTTGTTTAGCGTTTTCTATGAAATGATATCCTATCAAAGTGAGGCTGGATGACTTCGAGTAAGTGCGCTTCGATGGCGGCCCAGCAACATTAGTCACTTCTGATCTCTAATACATTCCGAAGACTGATCCCACTTTCATCGAAGCAGTTCTTGCCACGATCAGCGATAATCTGCACTTTAACCGACAATTCTACCCTCCATGATAGGTTTTTTATTCTTAAGTAATTGGCGAAACAATTCTTCAAGTCTTCCAATTATGAAATTTTACACAGCTTGAAATGCACGATAATAACAAGGGTTAGTTTCGCAGTCATCAGTCGCCTAGTTTCAATTAAAAGGGATTGCAGTTCTAATCTAGCCTCACGGTTTCAGTCACAACTACAGACGGATTAGACTCGTGACTGGCACCAGTTGAGATAGGCTCAATATGTAATATGAGATGTATTTAAGGTGATGAAAGACTGGTAGTAGAATTTTCCCACAATGATATGAGCAGAGCCAATATTTCCAATGAATTTCACATTGTCTTGCTTTCCCAAAATATGTCGATAGTCAGCAAAAATACGTTTGCTTCATCAACAATCCCACCAAAGAATGTGATATGGGAAAAGGCCTGGTCTTCCTTGAAATTCACATCTGCCCTGTAACCCAAGGATAGTCGTAGAAATGTGGCCGAATGGTTAATGTGTCAAGCTCACATGCTGCACTTTCACGGTTCGACTCTCGCTGGGGGTGTTGATAAGACCGATACGAGGTCAAAACTGCATCCACTCTGGATGAGAACAACTTTTATGAAACAAAGGCTATGTGAAATTTAACGAAAACATCAACTCTACTCATCTCATTGTGGAAAAATTGTACTACCAGTCCTTCATCACATTGAACGAAATAGAGTGAATACATCTGATATAACTAATTTACTCGTAGTCTTGAAATTCTACTTATATACGATCAACATGTAATTTTATGGCTCTAATTTCGCATGGCTTGCCTCCCCTCTACACGCCCATGCTTCGGATTCCGCTCGGCTTGTTGGCGAGTTGGAGAGGTGAGGTCGGAGCTCAAGTACAATTTTTTCGGAGGTATAGCATATTCAACGCAAAAATCGAGCAATCTCTTAAAGTAATTGTGGAAAGATCTGCAGTCAGTGCATAAAGTCTGGTAGGAATTGATAAAGCTTGGCAACAATCATGAAAATACTCATGGGAGAGTAGGTTAATTTTGCAACAGAACAACCAAAGTTTTAGACTGAATGGCTTTGGGTGTTCAGGTCAATCTCAATCAGAGGAGTTCTTAAACCTATTACTTCATCCGAGCAATAGACAGTATGTACCGTTTGAGGGGAGGAGCTTTCATCTCGGCAAAATGATGAATGAAATGAGTATCGATATACCCCAGTCTCTCGTTCTCCCACTTCACATTCTCAGTCTCATTCCATTTTCAGCCGAAACACACAAATTCTGGTCAACACTTTTGAACACTCACAGCATGTCTACTCAAGTGGACTCATACTCAGCGATCACATGGCAAATATGGCGACTGACCATGGAGAATGTCGTGAAATATTCTTCCTAGCATGGTTGGACATGATTCCCAGACGTAGATAGGCCAGACAGATCAACGTCCATTTTATATGCGAAGATAAAAAGGGTTTTGTTGAATCTGTTTGGATAACTTAGAAGAACGCACCTTGTCCGGAGTCCACAGTCCTCTAAGTCTTCCTACCAATATGAGTAAGTTGCCAAAACAGGGTTAAACAACTTCTTTACAAAGAAAGGAGACTGCGACCACACAAAAGGCCACACCATCTTGGTCTTTATACCTTCTGTTTGGTTAACGTTGCCGTGAAGATTGTCATTTCATATTAAAGTGCCTAATGAAGAGACTTATAGGCCTATCTCACCAGATTTAGGTTGCCCTTTAGCCGTTTGGCCTTAATACAATGTTTCGTTAGAGGCCGTCCACCAGGCATCCACTCTCGCTTCGCGTGAAAATAAACCGAGATTATGTTCGTCATGTCACTTGGTGGACATCGTTGTAGCTGGGACTCATTCTTGCAAAAGCCTCACGTTAAAACTAAGTCAATAAGATATTCTGGATCAATCTTATAGCCTATATATCCTTTTAACTAAAAACAAAACTATATTGATATAAATAGATATATAATAATTTGGTTAGTTATCTTTAATATTAATCAGAATACTTATACTTGGGGATGTGTGTCTGCGTGCATGTGCAAGTTTGGTTAATATGATAAAGAAGTAACCAAATCATTTTATATCCATCTGTCTCTCTCTCCCTCTCTTTATATATATATCCATCTATCTATTTTACCCTTTAATTATGGTTATATATGGCATGGAGGATTAGCCGAATTGTCTTCTTGACTTAGTGTAAGAATGACTTCCAGTTATGATGATGGGATTCATATAACCAACGAAAACTTGGCCCCCTTGAACCCGAAACGAGGGAGGATATCTTTTAGACTGTGTAAATCTGAATGTCATATTAACTCCAACTTTTAGTAAGATTGACTTACGAAGCTTTTCATCATGCGCTTCCATGTGAAATGAAAAAATCCTCAAAAAGATCAACTTTGAGTAAGTCAAGAGTTCTAAATTATGCATAAATTCCGCAGTGACCACAATTGAACTCTTCATACTAGCCGACAGTACTACTTATAATGGTAGTCATTCTGTTACTAAAGTAGTAGCAAATGCTAAGTGGACAGCAAAGGAAACAGCTATGGCTATGGTGAATAGTTTATAAACATTGAATATGGCTGGGTTTTGGAATGACTGGCTCAACTGCGGTAGATGACCGAATGGTATGTGGCTATTAGAAGAAATGCATTAACGACAAATTATATGCCGATATATGCATACATTTGGATGGGTATCCCCATTTCACTGTACCCCTCTACTCATACTGGCAAATGAAAGCAAATGCACACGCCGAGTCGTAAACAGGACAGGTCATTGTCACAGTAATCTGGCAGAGACCGCTCCTTAATTGCCCATTCATTACTAGGCCGTGGAGTTTGTCATCCACAGCAAGGGCATTCAAAGGTCGGTCACAGTTCAGGGTTCACAAAACCACCTCGTATTTAATCCCATATCTGGCGCGGTCAGGGTCAGCCATCTATTCAGTGAAGTCTATCGTGTACTCTCGTCTGCAGATTTATATGTGTACACATATATCGGCGTGTGCGCGTGTATGTGTGTTATGTCTGCCGGAGTCTCGGAGTCTGGTGGTATCAGAGCCACCCTTGAGACGACACCTGGG